GTAGGCTTGACTTGGTATGATAAAGGCATGATATGGTCTACAGATGATGTATTATAGAATCCTATGCCTGAAACATATGTAAATTTATTCATCAATGTTACTCCAGTAAAATAAAGTTTATTTTATTTTTTATTTTATTGATTATGCCATTACAGTTGTTCTATTTACCCCCCAATCCCCTTCACCCTGCACGCCTCGGCCCCAAACATTCCCCCCCCCCCCTTTAGTTTGTGACATGTCTCAAGTTCTTTAGATTCTATATTTCCCATACATGCTTGCCCTCACCCCAATCTATTTTCTACCTACCATCTATACTACTTATTTTCTGTACCTTCTCCCCCCTTCTCCTCCTCCCACTTTCCTGTTGCTAACCCTCCATGAGATCTTCATTTCTATGTTTCCCCTCCTGATCTAGCTGACCTTTAATTTGCTTTTGTTTTAGGTGTGGTTATTAATAACTGTCAGTTTGCTGTCCTTTCACTGTTCATGTTTTTATATTCTCTTTCTTAGATAAGTCCCTTTAACATTTCATATAATAAGGGCTTGGTGATGATGAACTCCTTGAACTTGATTTTATCTGAGAAGCTCTTTATCTTCTCCTCCATTCTAAATGAAAGGTTTGCTGGGTAGAGCAATCTTGGATGTAGGTCTTTGGATTTCATGACTTGGAATACCTCTTTCCAGCCCCTTCTTGCCTGTAAGGTCTCTTTTGAGAAATCCGCTGACAGTCTGATGGGAACTCCTTTGTAGGTGACTGTCCCCTTATCTCTTGCTGCTTCTAGGATTCTCTCCTTCATTTTAATCTTGGCTAATGTAATTATGATGTGCCTTGGTGTGTTCCTTCTTGGGTCCAACTTCTTTGGGACTCTCTGAGCTTCCTGGACTTCCTGAAAGTCTATTTCTTTCGCAGATTGGGGAAATTCTCCTTTATTATTTGTTCAAATAAGTTTTCCACTGGTGGCTGTTCTTCTTCCCCTTCTGGTACCCCTATAATTCGGATGTTGGAGTATTTAAAGATGTCCTGGAGGTTCCTAAGTCTCTCCTCATTCTTTTGAATTCTTATTTCTTCACATTTTTCTGTTTTGTCATTTTTTCTTCCTTCTGGTACACTCCCTTGATTTGAGTCCCTGTTTCCTTTCCTTCACTATTGGTTTCCCTGTGCAACTCCCTTCATTACAATTATTTCAGCCTTCCTGTGTTCCTCTAATCTGTGACTAAACTTAACCAGTTCTGTGAGCATAATGATCACCAGTGTTTTGAACTATGCTTCTGAAAGTTTGGCTATTTCTTCATCGCTTAGAGTTATGGGCTCTGAGACTTTGAGATCTTGAGCCATTTTTCATCTGTTTGCACCCAGTAAGTATGAGGAGCAGAGTGTTAGGTGTTCATGAGGGCGTGGCTGCCCAGGTCTTTGGGTTGTGACTCTGTATGTTGGGGGCAGGGTCAGAATGGGGAAATAGCAGCCCCTCTGCTGCTTCCCGCTGCTGGGGCCTGTTCGTTTCGTCTTACTGCTCACTCCTTCTCAGGTCTATATGCAAACAAACGTGTGACCGCATTCAGCCTGCCGCCCTGCGCCCTCCCTGGGTCCACCCATTGCAACTCCACACCTGGGATCCCCGCAAGTGAGTCCGTCTGACCGAGTTTTCCTGTGCAACTCTGCTCAACCAGCTACTGGCTTCTCCCCTCTTACCAGTCTGGCAGAAGAATTCATTGTTATCAGACTTCAGAAAAGTTCAATTTTATGTGTTTGGCTATGTTTTCTATTGCTAAAATTTTGTTGTCTCTAAACTTGGTTGTGTGAGAAGGTACAGTTTTTCACCTATGCCCCAACTTAGCGGAAGTCCCAATAAAAGAAATTTTAAAAAGATAAATGGATAAAGAAGTGATGTGTTAGTTCGGAGTCTCTCAAGGAACCTGAAAGATGAAATGAGCTCTGGAGAACAGGGTTCATTAGTGGAGAATAAGGGAAAGTAGCCTTACTCCAGTCAGAATGGGCACATAAAGAAATCAACAAATGAGTATTGCACAGGATCTGGAGGAAAGGGAACCCCAGTGCACTGTTGGTGGGAATGCAGACTGGTTCAGCCACTGTGGAAAACAGTATGGGATTTCCTCAGAGAAATAAAAATGGAACTGCCTTTTGACCCAGCAATTCCACTGCTGGGATTATATCCTAAGAACCCTGGAACACTAATTCAAAAGCACCTATGCACCCCACTGTTCATAGCAGCCCAATTTACAATACCCAAGTGCCAGAGCAACCTAACTACCCATCAGCAAATGAGTGGATCAAACACTATTGTACATTAACACAGTGGAATTCTATGCAGCAGAAATAAGAGGGAGCTCCTACTCCTTGTGCAGCATGCATGGAACTGGACAGCATTATGCTAAGTGAAATAGGCCAAGTGGTGAGGGATACCATCTGATCTCACCTGTAACTGAAACCTAATCAACAAAATGAACAAGCAACCAAAATATAGACAAAGATATAGGAACATGCTGACAGTGATCAGAGGGAAAGGGAAGGGGGTAATGGGGGAATAGGATGAAGGGGCATGGGAACAATTATAAGGTACACATAGAATAACAAGTGGATGAAAATAGGGGGAGGAGGTGGGGGAGGGCTGGGATAGCGGGGAAGGATGGCAGGGAAAGGCAGAAAACTGTACTTGAGCAACAATAAAAACTAATAATTAACTAATTAAAAAGCCAAACCAGCAGATCTGTAAAAAGCTCATAGATACAGAGAACATTCTGATGGTTGCCAGATTTAAAAAGGGTTGAAGGGATGAGTGAAAAAGGTGGAGGAATTAAAAAGTACAATGTGGCAGTTAGAGAATAGTCATGGGGCTATAAGGTACAACATTGGGGAATACAGTCATTGTTATTGTAATAACTATATGTGGTGTCAGATGGATACTAGTTTTGTCAGGATGTTCACTTCATATACTGTATAAATGTCTAGTCACTCTGTTGTACACCTCAAATTAATATAACAGTGTGTGTCAATTATAATTAAACTATTTAAAAATTTAAAAATCTTAATTAAGGGAGAAATATATACCTCGCTAATGCTAATCAAAGAAGGCTGGAGTGGCTATATTCATTTTAGACAAAACCAATTTCAGAATGAGGAAAAGTTCAGAGTAAATGTGAGAATTATATAATAATAAAAATGTCAAATTCTCTAAGAAGATACCAGAATTTTAAATTTGTATATTCTTAAGATGAGAACATCAAAATACTAAGGCAAAAACTGACAGAACTAAAAGAAAAACAAACAGAATATAGAGTTAACTCCCTACATAGGCTTTTTTCTTGGTTTTTGTCTGGACAATCAGAATCTTCAAACAGATGGACTGTTTGTAAGAAAGCAATGGCTGGGACTTGGGAGAGGAACAGTACCTGCTACGTGTTTCAGAGCGTGGCTGGGTTGGAATTGGGGAAGACAGGCAATGGGTTTCATTCCCAGGTGTATGTAGAACATGGTGCCCTGACCTGGAAGCAGGGGAGGGGGCTCAGTCTGGGCAGGTGGACCCAGAGGCAATGCTACCTGAAGTTCTCCTAGTAGTGAAGGCTGGGGTAGCCAGGAAACCACTGCAGGGTGAGGACAGCCAATGGGAGAGATGAAACAGCTCCTCCCTTGGGCTCCTTGTGCAGACAATTACAGTGGTTTCAGAAAGCACAAGTGTTCCTTCATATTTCCTTAACAGGTGAGGCACCAAGCCCTGAAAGTGGCCTTCAATAAACATGTCTGTTGATTAGGTGACACTTGTTTACATAATCCACTTGTTCGAGAAATTTACAGTTGGTAGATTTTACAACATAAGAGCTCAAATGGAAAACTGAAACCATGTGACTTTAGAACTGTAGTTGAGCCCTGGCTGGTGTAGCTCAGTGGATTGAGTGTGGGCCTGTAAACCAGAGGGTCGGTGGTTTGATTCCCAGCCAGGGCACGGGCCTGGGGGATTGCAGGCCAGGTCCCCAGTTGGAGGTGTGCAAGGGACAACCACACATTGATGTTTCTCTTCCCTCTTTCTCCTTCTCTTCCCCTCCATCTAAAAGATAAAGCCTTTTCTTTAAAAACCTCTCATTGATTCTGCATGACATAGAAGACAGAACACTGGTTTTCTTGGGTTTTGTTGGTTTTGTTTTTTGGTTTAGAAATTCCCAAACCCAAGCTCAGTCTGGAAGCTGAAGGGTGAGGAAAGAAGAGGTAAACAATGTAATAATACTTGCTCTGAACAGTAAATGTAAAGGGCTATTTTTTGTGGGCAGAGGGTAGTTCTACATATTTCATGGTCCTTAAGAAAATGTCTCTTGTCATTACATCAGTGTGGCCTATCAGTGTGGTAGACTTAGATACAGCCTATTTCATGAAAAGTCTTCACTTCAACTCTAATGGGCACATACATCACCTGGAGACTTTGTTAAAGCTAACACTTTAACACAGTAGTTCTTGTGGTTGCCTGAGAGCCTGCCTTTCTAACAAGCCCTACCTACACAGGCTACTCTCAGCTGCAGGCAAACTAGGAAGAAAGTCCAGGGAGATCAGCCTCCACCATGAAAGCCAGGCCAATCTTCCTAATATGAGTTTAGTCCGCAATTTCATGGAACTCAGACCTTGGCAATGCTCTACCTTAGTGAACAGATATCAAGGTCCTGTCGGAGTTCTCATGTGTTCAGGTGAAGTCACGAGAGTTCTAATTCACTCAGTCAGTTTCACAGATGGAGACACGAAGTTCCTAAGGCATTGAATCATTTGTTTATTATCCCATAACCATTTACGTGTATGGTCCGAATTATAATGGTGTATTTCTATGTAGGGCCCTTTATCTACTTCATATAAGACAGGAAAAGAACCTACAACACAAGATATGAGGACAGAACTCAATGTGAAGAGTGGAGGCATCAGAAAAATTGGGAGGGAACAAAAGGAATTCAAAAACCAACACAGATTCAATGACGAAAACATAAAAAAATCAGATACAACAAAGTATGGTGTAGAGATCGTTGTTTTATTATTGACATTACAGTATTTTAGGAAACAATGCATCAAGTAGGGTCATTTCCATTGAAATAGAGCATGTGGGACAGAATTAGCTCCTTTTGTTCTCTTAGCATGAGTGATTCAGTTCTTGGGCAAAGCTGTCATTAAAGCTGCTTTTTTAGTATACCAGATCACAGCCTGACTAGAGACTTCATGGGTCCACACTAGGACCAGATTCCATTATCATCCTCTTACTGAAATGTTTTCTATAGGGAACCTATCAGAGTGTCATAGCAGATGTAGCCCAGACCCTGAATTGGAAAACTGGCAGGGAGACATGCAGCACACAGGAGTTGAGCCCACAGATCAGTGTTCCCGTGGGGAATCAGGCCTGCACTGTACCTAGGCTGCTTTGAGGCTTGCCTTTTTCTAAAACTCTCACACCCTGAATTGAGGTAGAAAATGTTTACTGTAACTTCCTAAAGTATGTGCTAAACCTCCCCAGTATGGAAAGTAACCGGTTCAACCACTTTTCCCCTTGGTCTGCAACACCCTTCTCTTTGAAGTAATTAGTGGCATTCTCTCCTAAAGCAAACCTGAGCATAGTAAATGAGGATCATCCTCGATGTAATGTACCCAGAAAAGCAATAAAAGCCTGTCCAGGCAGGGGTTGGGGCCCTCTCTCACTTAGAGAGCAGCCATGCCATCCCTTTTTCTCCACAGGACTTTTGCAGTCCATGTGAATTTGTTCGTCAAGCCACAACACAGACCCCATGGCCTGGAGTCCGCATCATCCGGCGCCCAGGAACAGACACCCAGGGCTACAAGCTGCAGTTGTGGACAACACACCAACTTGGAGTGCATGCTTCAGCCCAGGTAAGGGCAGATGACACTGAGTACTTTTCATTTAGGTCATAGGGTGTGTTGGATTTCAGAGAAAAAAGGGATTTCTCCCAAGGTTGACCACTTTTGTGGATGCTTTACATCTGCACCCTCTTTAGTAAGCAGGAGCCTTGCTCTCTCGCCCAAGTATCTGCTGCATTTCATAGGTCTGGGCTTGGGAGAAAGAGCAAAGACCTCCCCTTTAATCAGCTTTAAAAACAACTAGTTACAGGGCTATTTACAAGCATCTCAGCAAATTCTTTCAAGCCGCCTCTTGCAGTCCTTTTGATTTTGCCTTTTCCCTCCCTACACCTGCATAAGGAAAAGCAGATAGTGAATGAGTGTTTTGGTTTCAACTCATGATCTTCAGATTCTGAAGACTGCTTTCCAGAAGAGTTTAGTGTTAGTCCCAGGTTTTGTATGAGAGCATCTGGCATTCGCCAAGCTCCGAAGACAAAAGGCACTTCCTCCCCTCCGCTCCAGAAATCGGGTGTTCCCACAAGTCAGAACCTTGCGAGGGTGTCTGGGATCAATTCCCAAGATGTGCAGGGGCCTTATACGGACCTCCAAAACAACTTAATCTAACTTCTGGGTCACCCGGGGAAGCACAATATAAAGTCTGGTCATCTAGCGCTTTGAGCCCCCCTTGCAGCCCTAAACGCTTGGAGAAGAACCAAAACCTGTAAGTGGGGTTAGCCTGGAATGCCCAGTACCCCTCCCTGACTGTCTTTCACCAACAGCACATTTTGACCCACCACACTATATTCCCCAATAGCTAACTAGCTAGAGTTCAGCACAGGCAGTGGAAGGAATTTCAGAAAAGGTTCTTTTATTTGTTAAAAAAATTTCTTTAACAGTTTCTATGAATCCTCTACCAAGGGAACAGGCTCTCTCTAATGAACAGAAGCAAGGTTTTTGGTTAATTCAGCAACTTTTTAAGGCTGCTGGATGTCTCCCAGATAAGGGATCTTTAGATTTAGAAATATAGGGAAAAGGGCAGAGAAGCTCTCATAATCAGGAAAACAGACAAAAAGAGAAGGGACCGATGCATCCCAGCCAGACCCTTCCCATAGGTCCCCCCAGCTGCAGTGGGCATCACGGCTCGGTCTGGTGAGCCCAGCCATGGTGCAAGTGTGCGGGCACTCACAGCAAGGGGGGCGGGGTCTCTCTGTCAAGGACCGGCAGTGGCAGAGAGAGCGTTGGTCCCCCTTGGGCCCCCTCCTCCCTGTGCGTGCACAGGAGCAACCTCTTCTCTACCCAGTGGCTGCAGTCTGGATCTGCCCCAGGGCAGGAGTTCCACACTGTGCCTCACCTCAGCCAGGCACCTAGCAGCAGACTTAGAACTGGCGCAGGCAGCACGTCACAAAGGGGAGTTCCAGCTAGGCCATCCTCGAGGTAAGAGACAACAGCCCCCATGCTTTGGGTAGCTACCAGCGTGCTTAGTTTTGAAAAAGAGATTTCTATTTTATTTATATTTCTATAACTGGAATGGGGGCATTTCTCAACCCTGAAAAAGTGTGCAGTCTCTTAAATGTTTTGGTCCAAATGGGCAAGTTGAATGAATTCAGCCTTACATCTTTCATGCCCCACTTAATATCTGGGGCAGGGACCTCCTCATTCAGTGAGGAATGGAAATCACCCTACTCTGAGTGTTAGCCCTGGAGGGTTACAACCTCAGATGATTTGGCAATCAGATGTTAATCCTGGACCTAGGAACTACCAGGTCCTGAGAACAGTACAGTAATTAACTCGCTGCTCAAACTCACTGCAGCTTACAGAAACAGCAGAGGGCCTGTCTTTCCCAGCAGACACTAACTCAAGTGCTCCACAGGCCCCTCCCCTCACTGGGGAATTAGCAGAGAATGTTAGAGCTGGAGGCCTTCAGTCACTTAGGCCGTCCACAAGAAATCAAGACTAATAATGGCCTGGGATATATTATACAAACCACTCAGGCTTTCTTAGAAAAATGGGGAATTTGGCATAAAACAGGAATCCCCTATAATCCTATGAGTCAAGCAATTGTTGAAAGAGCTCACCAAACCTTTAAAATATTATTAAACAAACTAAAAAGGGGGAGTCAGGTAATATCCCCCAGGAATTTAATCATGCTGGCAATATATACATACAATTTTTTTAACTTGTGATAATTTAAAGTCACCCATAGGCAAACACCTTGTGCAAAACATGCCTGCAGGCCCACACCCCTTGGTCTTGTACAAAGACCCATTAGGGGAAGGAAGATGGGAAGGCCCAGTTGAACTATTAACTTGGGGAAGAGGGTTGCTTGTGCCTCCTCCCCAGAAGGACCTTTGGAGCTTCTGGCAAAGAGGGTGAAGCCATATCATAGAAAAGGCTTCCCGGCAGCGACCCACCTCTACCCCATTGGACTCTCCTGATCCAGACTTCTCCAAGCTGTGCGTCACTCTGCTCTAGTAGAATCCCAGCAGTACTCCTGGAGCGATATTCAACATCATCTAAGAGGGAATTTTTCTACCAATTTAAAAAGACAAATTGATAAATTGCAGTTAGAATTACGTCAGCAGCTGCAGGACATTCAATGCTTGACTAAGCAAGAGTTTTTCAAGCCCTCCATGACAATCTCAGTGGCTAAATCCAAAAAAAATGGTTTCATGGACTTAGCCTGAGAGCATGGGTCTTTGGAGCCATTGGTTGCTTACTGATTATAATAATGCTCTGTGTACTTTGCTGCATTTGCAATTTTTTTCCCAGGGTCCTGTGAGAGACCAGCAAGTAGCAAGCTTTGTGGGATCTATAGTGGTCCTAACTAAAAACAAGAAGGGAAATGTAGGGAACCTATCCAAGTGGTATGGCAAATGTAGCCCAGACCCTGAATTGAAAACCTGGCGGGGAGCCAGCAGGCACATAGGAGCAGAGCCCACAGATTGGTGTTCCGATGGGGAATCAGGCCTGCATTGTAATAGGCAGCTTTGAGGCTTGCTTTTTGCTAAAACCCCCACACCCTGAATTGAGGCAGAAAATGTTTACTGCATATCTTTAAAATAACTTCCTAAAGTCTGTGCTAAACCTCCCAAGTATGGAATGTAGTGTAACCAATTCAACCACTTTTCTCGTTGCATCTGAAACATCGTTTTCTTTGAAGTAATTAATTAGCAACATTTTTTTTCTTTCATTATCAGTAAAGGGTAACCACCTAAAGCAAACCTGTGCATAGTAAATGAGGACTATCCTCGATGTAATGTGCCCAGAAAAGCAATAAAAGCCTGTCCAGTCAAGTGTTGGGGCACTCTCTCACTTAGAGAGTGGCCATGCCATCCCTTTTTCTCCACAGGACTTCTGCAGACCATGTGAATTTGTTTGTCACAGCCACAACACACAGACCTCGCTGGCCAGAGTCCACATCAGTTTCCTAATCCAGAACATCATCTCCAACAGGTATGACTCAACCCTTAGGCATGCAGTAAAGGCTAGTAAAGCCCAAGCAGAATTCATCTAGAAGTTCACCAACAGTGCCCACTCTCACAGCGGACCCTTGCAGCTCTCTCTATCATCCTGAGGTTATAAATCCCAGTGTCGGCTTTCAACCTCCCTCCAACCCTTCATTGTATCTAAGAATAGAAACCTGTATAGTTCACCAGTCTTGTTACATCAGTTCATAAAATCAAAAGCAAATAGACAAAAATGATAAAGAACTTTCCGATTCAGGCATTTACTAACATCAATGTTTCCTAACGTCAACCTTTAGTCTGGAGTCCCTGCTACCTGTTTTTCATGTTGTCACTCTGAGGACATGTGCTGGGGAAAGGAGAATGACATCCATAGGGAACCTGGGACACAGAGGCAATGTGGGCTGGGCACCCTTTACTTTTATGACAAGAAACAGCTTCATGACAGCAGAAAAAAAATGGTAAAGGAAAGGACATGAGCATAAGAGAGGCAGAAAAGGAGGCACTTGTTCTTCTGGTTGGTATCCTCAGGGGGAAAAGACAGCTGGATCAACAGAGGATCTCAGAAGAGCAGTAGCAGCTTCAATGAGCACATGCTGGATGGAGCCTATTAAGAAGAGAAAAAGAAAACGAGAGCTGAGGGGCAATGATGAGATGCATGCCTTTCCCCCAGTCCCCTCTAACCTCCCTGCTCATCACTCAAGCCCTGCTTTTGACTCTCTGCAGTACCCCTGGCTTCCGGTCACCTAGACTTCTGTCTGGCCCAGAAACAGTCAGCCGTGAGACAGTAAACTCTCAGGAGTGCAGTCTCACACTCAGCACAGTACTGACCTAGTGAGGGGAGTAAATGCCACTCCATGTCCTTTTCACAATTCACACTCCCCATCCACAGCCCTTTCCCTCTTCACATACCTCCCCACCACCCCCAGTGTCACACTGCACCCTCCTCCTGCCAAGGGGCACAACTAGCTGGGAGACCAGAAAAAGCCTCGACCAGGATAGTCAGGGGGATGGACAATGGTGTTTCTCTCCTGGGCACACTCTTTAAGGCCTGGAGGCTCCCTGTCTGGGAAGATGCCCAGCTTCCTAAGGAGGGAAGAACATGGGGACTGAGGATTAAGTTCCTACCTGCATGGACGTGAATCCAAGTCACAGCTTTCCTTTCCAGAAGTTCCCACTCACATTTCAGATCCTTATAGTTGTCATGGAGCCAGATCACTGCCAGGACTGTGGCCCAGCCTGAGGGATCCACACCCTGCAACAAGCAGACTTCCCTGAAGCCCCCACTCCCTCCTCACTTACCAATGCCCCCACACTGCTACTAAATGAGACTACCTGGTCTCCCTAAACCTTATTTATGACTTGCAAGGCATAATTCCAGGCCATAAACCTCAGGGCAAGGATACATTGCATCTTAGGATACAAAGATCTTAAATTTTAAAGCCAGTGTAACCACGAGGACAGTGCTTGAAACTCCTGAACATACCCCTAATGAGAATTAGCCATCTGTGATCAAAGAAACACATGCAGCCCTGGCTGGGTGGCTCAGTTGGTTAGAGCGACACCCCATACACCAAAAGGTTGCAGGTTCAATTCCCAGACAGGGCATGTATGGGAGGCAACCAATTAATGTTTCTCTTCTGGCCCCCACTAAAATGGATCCTCAGGTGAGGACTGAAAAAGAAAAAAAAGCACAGCTGTACAGTTGCTTTATATTTTCTGAAGCATCTTCAGGATGTTTTTATTTGAACTCTCACCAAAACAAAAAACGAGGAATCACAAATGTTTAAGAGAGAGAACTGATTCATTCCAAAGTGAAATGATTTGCCCAAAGCTTGCCCTCTAAAACATGATGGAGGTGGGACCAGAGGCCAAATATTCTGGTTTAAGTCACATTGCTCATAAAACTCAACAGAAAGTCTCATGCATAAAAACAGAAAACAGGTTCCTGCGAGTTTTCACCCACGACCCCACAATTTCAATGTTTAGAGACAACAGATCCTCTTTTATCATGACCTTTAAAATTTGCAAACAGCTATCATGTCCTCTGAGTAGTCTTGTTTCACATCAAAATTCTCAGCTCCTTTCATTCTCTTTTAAGAAGATTTATGTCAAAGCAATAAGAATCCCCATATTCGTTCTCCTAGCCTAGAAACAAACACAGTGATTTCTAAAGTATATCTCTTTAAATGGTCACATCTGGAGGTGCATGTACTTATAAAATTCTGTGACTCCAGCCCCAAATGGTATAATACACATAGCTTTTATGACAATTCTGTTGCCCTCAACATGTTTGTAGTTGTCTAAGATCTCCAATTTTCACGTGCAGCAGCTATGAAGTCACTTTGCACCTATTCTATATCTGTAGAGTTGAGAATTTAGAATGAAAAACAGTATGTTTGTTTCTGCTAATTTTTTTTAATTCAAGCCATTGTTCAAGCTTTGGGGGATCCTGGTTTTCTTGTGTAATACTCTATCTCTCAGTTTGGTCACACACAAATAGGAAAGCATTGGTCCACACGTCTATCTAAAGTTCATGGAAAACATGGACCTCCAGAGAGTTCAGAGCCTGGTGGATCTAAACATTGGTTTCAAGTTGAATAAATTCACTATTCAGTAATAGGTTTTCAACTAGTTTGTAATTAGTCTATATACTCATCATTAAGGACTCCCTACCCTTTAAAGTGACAATTCCAGGTGGAACTGGAGAATATTATGCTGAGTGAAATAAACCAGTCGGTGAAAGACAAACACCATATGATCTCACTTATAAGAGGACTCTATTGAACAAAATAAACTAACGAACAAAATAGAACCACAAGCACGGAAACGTGCAAGAGACAGACAGCTGCCAGAGGACAAGGGGAAGGGAACGCTGGAAGGAAGGGGAGGGACTAGTCAAAGAACATGTAGGAATGACCCATGGACATGGACAACGGTGTGGAGATCAGCTGTGGGAGCGGGAGGGGGGCCTGGGCAGAGGAGGGAAAAGGGGGAAAACCTGGGACAGTTGTAACACAATAAATAAGAAAAAATATATAATTTACAAAAAAGAAATATAAATTACAAAAATAAGAGTACCAATGCATAAAGACATATATGTATTATCTTTTAATAATAACATATTACATAAATGCAAAAAAGTAAAAAATAATAAAAAAAAAAATATAACTACTTAAAATATTTTTTTTAAAGGAATAATCAAATACCTTACTGAAATTCAGATACACCAGGGCCCTTTCCTTATTTTAAAGATTTTATTTATTTCTGGAGAGAGGGGAAGGGAAGGAGAAAGAGAAGAGAAACACTGATGTGAGAAAGAAACATCAGTCGGTTGCCTCTCATATCCACCCTGACTGGGGACCAAACCCACAACACAGGCACGTGCCCTGACAGGAAATTGAACCGCAACCTTTTGCTTTGTGGGATGATGCCCAAACCAGAGTCACTCCAGTCGGGGCCGGGGCTGAGGCTCTTGATTCCCTTGATTTATTGGCCAAGTTCCCACGCCGGAGAAGGAAATGTTAGTCTAATATGCTTTGTTCTCAATGAAACCAAGTTAGAGCTTCATGATCCTTAATATCTTCATTTAATTGTTTGTAAAATAACTATATTATTAATCAAATGTATACTTGCTTAATATTATCCTTCTTAATTATCTGTTTTAGAAGAGTGTTTTTCAATAGAAATATAGTGCTAGATGCACATATAATTTTAAGTATACTAGTAGCCAATGTAAAAATGTAAAGATAAAAAGGTACAATTATTTTATTAATATATTTTATTTAACTTAATATATTTAAAATATTTTTGATTGATCGAACTTTTTTTAGAGAGGGAGAAAGGGAGGGAAGGAGGGAGGGAGGGAGGAAGAGACATTAATTTGTTGTGCCAGTTATCTATGTATTTTTGCTTGATTCTCATACGTGGTCTGACCAGGAATCAGACCTGTAACCTTGACATATGGGGACAATGTTCTAACCAACCGAGCTACCCAGATAGGGCTTAAAATATCATCTTAACATGTGATCAATATAAAAATAATTACTGATGAAGTATTTTACATTCTTTTTTATATTAAGTCTCTAAAATGAGAACGTATTTCACAATTATAGCACACCTCAATTCAATTAAAAATTTAGTTCCTCATTTGCATTTACCCTATTTTAAGGGCTTAATAGCCACATCTGACTAGTAGACACTGTGTTGGATATTATAGTTATAGGACACCTGAAGTTTTTTTAATCACCTTCCGCATTTGCCAATTCAAAACGACACTTGTCCTTTTTAGGCTTTCAGCATTTGCCTTCTATTTAACATCACAATTAGAAGATTTAGTAAGTTACCTGGACATCCAGGAGCATAATTTGTCCCTCTCAGCAGACTTGAATACATTTGAAATATTTAGGTCATCCCTATTAATACTTCACCTTTCTGAACTTCAGTAAAATTCTGCTAATTTCTGGACCACTTCCTTTAGTAAGAACAGGAGCAATAATGTGGGTTCTGAAGATAGACAGTCCCAGAACTAAACCTAACTCTGCTGCTAACTGGTTAGGTAACTCAAACAAATTATTACATGTCTCTGGGCTTCAGTTTCTTCATCTACAAACAGCAACATGAATAAGATTTATTATACTTAATTGCTTTGATGAATAAGTAATATGAATATTAAGTGCTTAGCACAGTGCTTTGCACAGAGTAAATGCTCAATGAACAGTTGTTATTATAATTAAGATGCTTGGCAGGGAATTAATTAAAGTAGAAGAGAATTTTGCTTTCCTTTTGTTATCCATCAACTCCTACTAGCTAGACCACTAATTAGTCCCTTGTTCTTTATGTTCTAACCCACCCAAAAAAAACCTTCAACCTCTACTTATTAGAAATTTATTTAGTCTATGGCCTTCTATACTTCCTTCCTCAGGTGACTCACAGTTCACCCCCATTCTCTTTTAGTGACTCCAACCACTCAAGTATATACACACTCTTCTGTTCTCTAAATCTCACCTTGGCAGGAAATGCAGCCAGTATATCCTCCACACTCATACCTAGGATCTTGGCCAGACCTTCATTCAGATCCCAGGAACCATCTGCCTTTTGGAGGGAAATCAGCTGTAGAAGATTATTATCTTCAGAGACTTTGGGAAGGAAAAATGAAAGAGGATGAGAAATTCAGAAGCTTCTCACCTGCAGCATACTTGAGAGAGCGGTCTGAGCTCAGAATGTAGAGCGCGCGGAGCTCTGCAGACCCCACCAGGACCCCATTTCTTCCTTCCCCGGGGGACATGCACTCTCTGGGACAGGATAAGGCTGCCCTGGGGCTGCACTGCACTTAAAAACTCAGCAACAAGAGAAGGTTATGGGGAACTAAAGGGTCCTCAAGATGGTGCTGTTTAAAGTCTTATCCAGTCTTATTTAAATAACCCTTAAAATGTTAGGCATATTTTAAAAATTCTAGGCAAGCAAAGCTTGAATTTTAATTATCAAAAATTTCAAAAGAAAGCAGATATAAAGGAAGCAGTTAGTCGTCCACCTCAAAGAATAGTCTAGGGTCTAAGCATGGTGGTACACCTGCTTCAAAACCACAAAATTTTCATAGAAAGTATCTCACATCTGGCTATATGGGATGATACACTTAGAGAAACTTAAAAATTAGTAGGCAAGAGAAACAGATCTACTCTAATGGGAAAGCAAAGCTAAGGCTCTGGATTTCCAAAGTCTGAGTTTGCATCTCAGTTCTGCTAACACACAAAATCTAATAGCCATTTAACCCACAGGGATCTCATCCTGCTCTGTAAACTGAAGGCAGTAACGCCTGATTCACAAGAAAAAAGGGAAAGGACCTGGAAGGCCCATAAACAGCTCCCTATAAATAGTAGTTGCCAACTAATTTACAAAAACCAGCAAGATGCCACTGGGGAACTTTTCTTTCTGCTTTAATAAGAGGATCCTTAGGAGAGAAAGCTAGAGTGGAGGTAGGACAGCGCAGGAAACCAATGTAGATTGAGAATCTGCTCCCCAGACAACATCGAGAAGGTTCTCATGACAAGCCTGGGAGATGAACAGTACGGCAGCAACCAAGGCTCTAAAAAGTGAATTGATTTTCCTAAAACCCCACAGGAACTGCTAGTACAGACATCAGAATTCACCCTAGACCTCAAAGCCCTCTCTTTATAGAAGCCTAAGAAGAATGAATACATAGTGTGTCAAAGATGTTAAACAATTAAACAATTACATGCCATAAACCCTAGCTATGAAAATTGGAGCAATGAGACGGAAGTTGCCTGTACACCTGTTTAAGTAGAATAGGCACTGCTTAGTAGCGAAATGTACTCTGACTTGATGTGTCAGGTACATGAGAAGCCTAGCTGCTGGGAACACAAGGCAATGAAATGACGAAGGAACACTCTTTGGTGACAGAAAGTCGTCAGACATCGTTAGAGAAATCTGTCTTCAAATCCAACTTCTAAAAAAATGACTAATGCAGCTGGGGGCCCAGACAGGGTGGCAGCCCAGCTCTGCAGGAAGAGGGCCCCGGCCAGTAGGGACGGTTTTCGAGCTGAGATGGCAAAGGGGGTAAGTTTCAGGCTCTTCTCGAAGGACACTGGAGCAGGTTTCAGTGTCCTATACTGTACACCACTGAAGCGGGGCTGACCCTGGCAAGTACAGGGACTAAACAAATTTTATCGTCTGCCTAACACTTTTCAAAGAGATCACCTCCCCGGGAGAGAGAGCCACGAGACAGCAGAGCGACCAGGATTAGTTCCGCAGTCCCTATGGATCGGAAGGGACCTGAGGCCCGCCTCACCTGTGCTGGGGCTTCCCACGCTAGTCCTCAATGCGAAAGAGCAAGGCTTTCTCTTCTGAGGGGAGGCCGCTTTGGGAGACATGGCTTTACCCTTCAGTCTGCATTTACCGACTCGGGCACTGTCTAGTCCTGTGTGTGTGAAAGAAAAACATTGGTGAGAAAAGGCCCCTGGAAAGATGCACACCAACAGGACCCAGGCTCTTGTGAATCATGGACGGAGGGGGGTCGTAACCATTCTTCCAGCATGATGTGCTTAAGTTGAAAAAAGCCCTCAGCAGGCAGACGGGAGGGGGAAGAGTCCTTTGTATGACCTGAGAAACCCCGGCACACACCCACACCAGGGGCCTTTGATAATTTGAGACACGTTCAAGTATGTCCTACCCAATGTTGGCCTCGGTTGCTTTCTTTTTTTTTCTTTTAATATTTTATTTATTTTATATTTTAGACAGGGGAAGAGAGAAAGAGAGGGAAACATCAATGTGTGGTTACCTCTCATGTGTCCCCTACTGGGAACCTGGCCCTCAACCCAAGTATGTGCTCTGACTGAGAATCAAACCAGCAACCCTTTGATTTGTAGGCCGGTGCTCAAGCATCGAGCCACACCAGCCAGGGCTCAGTTACCTTCTTTATTGTGCAGTTTTTCTTCTCTTGCAAACCCAGACCCTGCACACACCTGCCCATTTCAATACATGACAATGGCCTTTTATTCATCTTTACTTTCAGTATAGCAGGCTTCCTCCAACTATGTCACTTAAAACTACATGCTCCTTCTAAAGACCTCTTCTCCCTCTCTCCTTCTGAAATGGTGGATGTTCCAGGTAGCTACTCCAAGCAGCCAGGTTTGAGAGGTGGGGTCAGTGCAGTTAGCAACCTCTTCAGTCCCAATTGCCACATCCATATCATTCCTCTTCATCCTCACCTGGATTTACCTTCCTCACATCCTCACTGCTGTCAACCTCCAACCTCTCTGGCCCTTCCCATCATTCACTAAAGTATCTGAAAACCAGGTCAAAGACTTTCACTTCAGGGCAAAGCCTGCCATCACCTTGAGAGATCATGGATCCATGTAGATAACCCATCTGATATGAAAATTCAAAGCCTCTTGTCTTCCTCAAACCAAAGGGCTTCAGCCTGCATTCTACTCCAGCCAATCCCTCCAAGCCAGTATCCGGTTATCAAACAGTTCCCACTGTAAAAAAATAATTAAAAAGAACTCTACTTTTAAAATATGATATCTAATTTTTCCAGCTTTCTAACTCACAGATTTTTATTTTACCTGGCCTTTGATTTCATCTGGACCTTTAAGTCTTTGTCTCCTCTGTTTTTTGCTACATAGAAATTTCCTTGTATCTTTACTCTTTGCCATTCAGCCTAAATCTTAGGTTCAGCACTCTTCAACTCTCTTATTACTATCTTCAACTTCATGTCCCTAACTTCCTTTTTATCACATCCATTGCCAAAACCCAACCTCAGAATTACGCCAACACTCTACTCTCTTCATTCTTATACCAAAGCTGTCGCACACTGATGAACCGAATCACATAAATGGACTTCCTTTAGTTGTCTAGTGCCGCTGAAAAAGTCAGTGTAGCAAAACTAAACCAGACCTTCAACATTCCTTGACAAATACTCTATTTCTCCCTGAGCATTTCACTCCCCGGATTGCCACAGGGCTATTTCCAACCCTTAGCTCGAATTCTCTGCTCTGCAACTCCAGTCTCACACTCATTAGCTAATCTTGCTGTCTCTCACTAACATAACAGAAAACGATCAGACAGAAACTCCAAAAGCTTGCCTCTCAGCCTCTGAACTGAAATCTAATTCCATCCCTTTTCTTCCACATCCTGGCAATAAGGGAAGAATGTCCTAACACTTGTCCTGTTAAACACTAACCCCTCCTCTGCTGTTCTAGATCCCATCCACCCTCGCTTCCTCAAACACCCTTCCAATTCATTACCCTCCCCAAACCCAGTGTTTTCAAGCCTCTCCAGGGGCATTTCCCTGTTAGCATTATAACATTCTCAAATCCCTTCCATTCTGAAATCATAAAGAGGTGTAACACACACACACACACACACACACACACACAACAACTCAACAACTTCTTTTATAGGTATCACTCTTTATTCCTTCCCCTTTTTGACATTTATAAAAAGCTCATGTACAAGCTGCTTCTCATTTCCCACCTCTCATTTGCTCTTTAACATTGTAAATATAGATTCTTTCCTCATCTACACCAGTGGAACTGTTCTTCATTAGATTAGCAAGGCTTTCTTTGATATTAATACAATATACTCTTTTTGGGTTTTTTAGGGTTTTTTTTCCATTAACATTTATCCCCCCCTATAACTTCTGCCACCTCCACCCACCTCAATCCTTCTAGCAATCACCATACTATTGTCCATGTCCATGAGTTCTTCCCTGCTGTTTTTTATTTTTTGGCTCTATCCCTCTTCCCTGCCCCACAGCCTCCCTAGCCCTCCCAGTTTTATTGTGACTCCTCTGCACTCATTTCTTTTCTTCCTACTTTATTCCTTTTTCACATGGCTTGGGGAATCTATCCTTAGATATTCTTCAGTGTGCCAATCTTATCCCCCTTTTCATCTCATTTTACACCTGCCCCCTCTGAATAATCACATGCGCCCTGAGGACTTTAACTGTTGCCTAGACGGCTTATGGCTGAGACAGTTTCAGCAGTCAGCAGCCCTGTCCAAACACTGCCAGATTGTTCCTCGGCCACCTGTGTAATCCTTAATCATCTAATCATCAATACAATTGATCAGCTTCAGATATAGACAGTGTTTAAGTCTGAACGCTCAGTGTTTATGTGTGCTTTTGTTAAATTTTCCTCATTTTTCCCCTTGGATTGCTATAAATTTTCTTGCTAATGGGATATTTTCTAGGTTTGTAGGACAGAAAAGTTTGACACCAGTCTGAAATCTAAGATGTGGAGAGATAAGAGGGGGGAAAAGACCTTTCATAGGCATTTACTTTAATTGATGTATCCAGACATCCAGGGCCTCTTGTTTAATATGAGTTTAAATAGAATAAAACTCACCAACTGCAGGAGAGCATAACTTTGGAGAACCATAAAACAGCACTGGCCTTGGAATGTCACGTTGGACCAGGGGTCCCTGAACTGGCTTTTCGAGATCCTTGTTGACAGCAATGAAAGCCGTGTGGGAGCTTATCACCCCGCACTCCAGGCTCACTTTCAGCACGTCTTTCTTATGGTTTGCTGGAGTCTCCCCATAGCCCATGTCCTTGGTCTGGAGAAAGGACTTGGCAGCAAGGCGGTGGATGGTAAGGCTGAAAGAGAACAATTCCTGTGACACAGGGGAAAGCATGCACGCCCCCTCAGAGCCTCAGAAATCAGGGATGGCCCAGGAGGAAAAATCAGATGGGGAGAGAAAAAATCTGAGTGGCTTAAAAAGGAAAAGTGGTTTTAGGGAAATAATCGAGCCCAAAATTAAGAGCAGGAAACCAACCCACCAAAATGGCAAAGACGAGAAGGGAGGGAAAGGAAGAGAAACAGAGGGGAGGGGAGGGGAGGGGGAGGGGAGGGGAGGGGAGGGGAGGGGAGGGGAGGGGAGGGGAGGGGAGGGAGGGGAGGGGAGGGGAGGGGAGGGGAGGGGAGGGGGGGAGGGGAGGGGAGGGGGAGGGGAGGGAGGGAGGGGAGGGGAGGGAGGGGAGGGGAGGGGAGGGGAGGGAGGGAGGGGAGGGGAGGGGAGGGGAGGGAGGGGAGGGAGGGAGGGAAAACTAAAAATCTCACTTGGCATCAAACTTGGGTTGTAGAGAAAATGTCACTTTATTCTCAAAATTCTTGCTCTGGAGGGTGTACTTGAGGCAAACTTCTCCTGTTGCCTCTGCTGGCTAGAATTAGAGAAGAGTAGAAATGATGGAAGGGAAGATAGCACCAAGAGAAAAGTCCAAACTGGGGCAGCTCCCCAACCCCACACATTAACACTTCTGACTGGAAACCAGGTGGTGCAGGAAACCAGAGACTCAACATGATGGAGAAGGGGGCAGGCTGAATCTGTCTGGCAAGTGTCCAGAGCAAGTTCAGGGCAGCAGCTACTCTGAATGGAGAAACAAGCAGGAATGGTCTCTCACCGGCATCATCCCAGTCAACTGGGCATAGATGATTAACCTCTGACCCCTAAAGATGACAGTCTGTTCTGGGGAAAGCATTTCAGCAGAGAGACCAGGCGGCAATTCCCAGTGCACAGAAATGTCCTCCACTGTAGGCTGCAGAGAACGTTTCAGGGCCCTAAGAACCTAGTGGAAGAAAGAGAACAGAAACCCAAAATAATAATGGCAACAAATACTCCTACTAACTGAATGGTCATTGTGCACAGGTGCTATGCAGCACAAAATATATTATGCCTATTCCTTAATACTGTATTAGGAGATGGGTGTTATTACTTTTGCTTTACACATGAGAAAGTTAAAGCAGAGAAATTTAGTAAATGTGAATGAAGGAAATGTCTGGGAAAAGAGACCCTAAAGAAGTAGCCACTGGATAAGAAACGGCACCAACTGGGAAAGATGAACTTAGAAATACAACCAGAGATGGAAGATGCCTTCCCTGGTGCATACTAATCAAACAGAGTATCAGTGCACCACCTCCTCCAATCTACCAGGCATATTATAATTGTCCTTCTTATTTTCTGCATATCATTAGCATGGAGGATAGAACATAGGACTGAAAGACATCCTAAAGTGCACACCTGGAATGTCAATCACCACAGTCAGAATTCTTAGTTTCTGTTTCTTGTCTTAAACACAAAGCCCTAACCTTTCCAGCCTTTTCCTTCTGGGCTTCCAGCTGCTGGGACTAGATGCCATTTCTCCAGAAACTACAGTGGACGCTTTTAACATAAGTATAAAGTAGCCCATCAAGTAACTAGCCCAAGGCCTGAGGGGCAGAAGGCAAGGAGCCACAGAGGCAGTGTGTCGCCTCCGCTCTTGCACCAGGGCAGCCCTGCTCCACACTCACTCTGGAGCGCCACCTCTGGATGCCAGCCTGTCCCTCACCTTTGGCTGCATCCTTTCCTTGCCTGTGATGAATTCTGCCGTGCCGGCTGCTGCCCGGGCAACACCTTTTATTAGGCTGGTGGAGGCTCCTTCTCCAATACCAAATGAGAAACATCTGCGATTGTAAAATAGCTGGATGTCAGAGACAGGGACTTAATGGTGACATTATAAAATCAATACATGATGGTCAAAAATACATAGAGAGAGAGTGTACTTCCTTGACCAAAGGCATTATGACTACCACTTACTGAGCATACTCTATGTTTTGGAAGGCCAAATGCCTTAAATTAATGATGAAATTTAATCATCCCCAGACTCCTAAGAGGCAAGCTAATGTTACATTTTGCAGATAATCTGAGGCCCAAAGGGTTTTGGAACTCTCTCCAGATACAGACCATCTGGTACAGATAGAATCTGAGTGCTGATCTGCTTGACTCCATGATTCCCCAGGCAAACACTTAGTATTATACCGATGCTAGAAGCAGAAAAAACAAATAAGATTATATCCTCATTGACTATTTTAATTAGGCCAACAAAAATGGGAGAGTTAGGAAACAATAGACAGTGTACTCAGTGCTGGACTAACGTTGTTCTGGGACCACATCTGCCCGGGCAAAGCGAGCCTTGGGTGGGGCACTGCGCTTCCCGCTCTTCTGCCTAGAGAGCTCCCCGCCTGCCCTCGCTCCGGGGTAGCTTTCCAATCACAGCATGGCTCCCCAACTAGAACTGCCTACAAACAGAGTATGTTGGTAGTACTAATACCAGCAATTTTGGAAGGTGTGACAAGTATAGTTCTCACTGTAAATTAATACTCTACTATTTTGGCTTATGTGTCAGTCTCTTTTGAACTGCGGTAGTGTGAATCATCATCCCCATGTCTAGGGACATCAGCATCAGGACTAATGCTCTAAACCTGTAAGGCTAAGCCAGACTTCCGATTACTGTGATTTAACTGTGACAATGTTCCCTACACATCACAGCCTGCCAGCATCTTGAAATTGTCATCTTTAAATTTCCAACATGCTTTTAAACTGTAGCATAGGTTTTTTATGGCTTATAAAGTATTTGGATGTTGAAGTGTTTTTATGTATAAAGCTAAAGCTGAACAATATTTCTTGATGGCTAACTATATGCCTACAACAGCTTCATGAGATGATAATAATTACAATAATGGCAAAATTTTATATAGCACTTACTTCGTATCAAGAACAGTTTCCAATACTTTCCTTGGGCATAGTATACCTTTTTTAACTCTCAGAGTAAACCTATAAGAACAATTATTATCCCCATTTTCAAGTGAGGAAAATAAAACTTAGAGACTTTTGGCCAAACAGCTGAGAAGCAGGAAAACTGGAACTTAAATACATGGCTTTTGACTTAAAGTATAATACCCTAGGGGAGTTCTGCTCACAGCAACACCAGATGAAGTTGTTCCAAGATGGTAGAGAACCAGAAAGGCTGTACACAATATTTTTAATAATCTCTTTGAAAACCTCAGATGGCTGCCAAGACAATAATAACCTATGAGCTGAGAAGAGGGAGGAGAGGGAAGCCAAGAGCCATGAGCATGGTTCTGCTGTCCCTTTACATCCTGAAGCAAGAGCCAAGTTCCAACTGGTAACAGAATGATCAGAAAGCTAAGCAGTTTCAGTTTGGAGCTCTCCAAAAAAGTGCCTTGGTAGACACTCAGGTGTTTTACTATGAGCCTGTAGAACTACACTCTAGAGAGGTGGATCTAAAATAAACCGGTCATCAATGACTGATGCTCATTCGACTCTAACTGGACTAAGGTTATCTGCTCTGGTCTAGCAACCTGTCAGAAGCAGAGAGTAAATCTTCTTAGAGGAAGGATAACATCATCTAGTGGCCTAAAGTACTTCCAGAATTTCATATATACAATATCTGACAGTTAACAATAAAATTTTAAAAACCCAAATATTGGGAAAGTATACACTATATTTCTGAATAACATAGGCTTTAAAAAGAAATCATAATGATAATTAGAAAATATTCTTGTGACTACCAATAGAAAATGACATATCCAAATTTAGGATATAGCTACAGATGTTTAAACATGTAGTTCTAAATACATATATTAGAAAAATAAGTTTAAAATTCAACCACCTGAGCATCTATCTTCAGATCTGAGGAAAAGAACAACCAGTAAACCCCAAAAAATTAAAGAAAAGAAAATAACAAACATCGGAGCAAACATTATTGATACAGAACTATTCATACAATACAGAGAGGATCCACAAACTCAAAAGTGCTATTTAAAAAAAAAAAGATGAGCAAAACAGCTGGACACAAAGTCAATACTCAGAAATCAAAGGCATTTTGGTACACCAACAATGAAACATGAGAAACAAATAAGAAAAAAATCCCATTTAATATAGCAACAAAACAATAAAGTACCTAGGAATAACCCTAACCAAGGAGGTAAAAGACCTATACTCAGAAAACTACACAGCACTGAAGAAAGAAATTAAGAAAGATAGAAACAAATGGAAACATGTACCATGCTCCTGGATTGGAAGAATTAACATCATCAAAATGGCCATACTACCCAAAGTGATTTATAGATTCCATGCAATCCCTATCAAAGTACCAATGGCATATTTCACAGATATAGAATATTTCAAAAATGTATATGGAACCATAAATGACCCCAAATAGCTGCAGCAATTCTGAGAAAGAAGAACAAAGCGGGAGGGATCACAATACCTGATATCAAAGTGTATTACAAGGCCACTGTAATCAAAACAGCCTAGTACTGGCATAAAAACAGGCACATAGACCAATGGAAGCAGAACAGAAGCCCAGAAATAAACCCAAGTCTCTGTGGTCAATTAATATTTGACAAAGGGGGAAGAATCATAAAATGGAGCAAAAATAGTCTCTTCAACAAATGGTGTTGGGAGATCTGGGCAGCTACATAGAAAAAAATGAAACTCAATCACCAATTTACACCATACACAAAAACAAATCCAAGATGGATAAAAGACTTAAATATAAGTCATAACACCATAAAAGTCCTAGAGGAAAACATTGGCAGGAAAGTCTCAGACATTCCACGTAGCAACATCATCACAGATATGTTCCCTAAAGCAAGGGACATAAAGGAAAAAATAAACAAATGGGACCTCATCAAATTAAAAAGCTTTTGCATTGCTAAAGAAAACAGCATTAAAATGAAAAGAGAACCAACCATATGAGAAAACATATTTGCCAATGACACCTTGGACGAGGGCTTGATCTCCAAAATATATAAAGAACTCACACGACTCCACTCCAGGAAGACAAAAAAAATTAAAATATGGGTAAAAGACTTGAACAGACACTTTTCCAAGGAGGACATACAGAGGATCCAGAGACACATGAAAATATGCCTAGCATCACTAGCCATCAGAGAGATGAAAATTAAAGCCACAGTGAGATACCACCTCACACCAGTCAGAATGGCCATCATAACCAAATCAACAAACAAGTACCAGAGAGGATGTGGAGAAAAGGGAACCCTAGTGCACTGCTGGTGGGAATGCAGACTGGTGCAGCCACTGTGGATAACAGTATGGAATTTCCTCAGAAAACTAAAAATGTAACTGCCTTTTGACCCAGCAATTCCACTGCTGGGATTATACCTTAAGAGCCTGAAACACCAATCCAAAAGAACGTATGCACCCCAATGTTCATAGCAGCACAATTTACAATAGCCAAGTGCTGGAAGCAATCTAAGTGCCCATCAGCAAATGAGTGGATCAAAAAAACTATGGTACATTTACACAGTGGAATTCTATGCAACAGAGAGAAAGAAGGAGCTCCTACCCTTTGGGACGGCATGGATGGAACTGGACAGCATTATGCTAACTGAAATAAGCCAGATGGTGAGGGACAAATACCATATGATTTCACCTTTAACTGGAATATAATCAACAGAAGAAAAAAAGCAAACAAAATATAACCCAAGTTATTGAAATTAAAAAGAATCTAACAATAGCCAGAGGAGAGAGGGGAGGGGACAGTGGGGAGAAGGGCTTTCAGGTACTACTATAAAGGACACATGGACAAAACCAAGGGGGAAGGTGGAAGAAAGGGAGGGAGGTGGGTTTGGAGGGGGTAGGGGGGATGAATAGGGAGAAAATACAGATAACTGTAATTGAACAACAATAAAATTATTTAAATAAAAAGATGATCAAAGTCGACAAACATTTAGAGGAAGAAAAAAATAAAGAAGGCACAAAGAACCAACATAAGAAATGACAACACTACCACTATTTCCACAAAACTTAGTAACATCATCTGGCAACATCTGAGGCAATTTTATGCAAAGAAATTTGAAAATTTAGATAAAATATACAAACTCCCATAAGAATCAACAACATATAAAAATATATATAATTTTATTTCAACAAAGAAATTTAAAAACCTTTCCAGAGAAAAATTCTCCTGGCGACACCTAGTAAGCATGAAAGAAAACCTTTCAGATAATAGAAAAACAGGCAATTATTCTCAGTCCAGTATATGATGCCAGTGTGACACTGATATTAAAACCAAACAAGAAATTACCAAAAAAAATCAGTACATCTCATGAAAACAGATTTGAAAATTCTAAACAATCATTAGCCAAGAAAATCAAAAATATATGAAGAATGATAATAGAGCACAACTAATTTGGGATTATTTCAGAAATGCAAGGTTGGTCTAACATTGAATGAAAGTCATTATAATTCACCCACTAAAAGAATAAAAAATAAAATCATGCACTCATCTCACCAGATACATAAAATTCATTTAATTAACTTCAACACCCATTAATTACTGTTTTCTTAAACGTAAAGAAAAAGAATTCTCCTAACAGAAATATAAGGAAAATTCCTTAATCTGATACAGGATATCTATAAAAAGACCTATAACAAACAAGCACACTATTAATGCAATGTTAATCATGTTCGTTCCAAAATCCAGAATAAGGTAAGGGTATCAGCTATGACCACTGCTACTCAGGTTTGTATTAGAGGTTCTTTCTAGGGCAATACAGGAGGGAAGAAAATTAAAGATACAAGGATTAGAAAGGAAAAACTGACATTATTTGCAAACATAATAATCCAGAGAAAATCTAAAAGAATCTATGAATATACCTTATTTTTGTAAGGTACAAAAATCCCTACCCCACCAAATTTGGGAGGGATAATGGTTTTAACGCTGCTTCTGAGTTCTGTTTACATTTACATTTGGTGAAATATTATGTTATTTATGTTATTAAATATTTTACCACTTTTTTTTTGCTTCAAGATTTTTTTCCTATTTTCCTCCTCCAAAACCTAGGTGTGTCTTATGGTCTGAAAAATATGGTACTACTTGAATGAGTATCTACCTTAGGCAAGGTCAACATAAATTTTAAAAGCCATTGTAATCCATTTCTATGTAGAAATAATCATCCAGTACATTAACTGTTTTAAAAATACTATTTAGCCCTGGCTAGTGTAGCTCAGTTGATTGGAGCATTATCCCATAAACCGAAGGGTTGCTGGTTCAATTCTCCAGCAGGGCATGTACCTAAGTTGCAGGTTTGGTTAGGTTCCAATTGGGGTGCATGTGAGCGGCAACCAATTCATGTTTCTCTTTTACATCGATATTCCTCCCCTCTCTCTCCCCCCCTTCCCCACTCTAAAATCAATAAGCATGTACTCAGGTGAGGATAAAAAATATATATACTATTTAAATTAGCATCAAACACCTAGGAAAAAATCTCATGAAAAATTCATGAAGATCTCTATACAGAGAATTATAAAATATTACAGAGAGATTTTGTACACTCTTAGATTAAGGAAATAAGTAAATTTTGTGGGGAACCAGGTTTCTCATTATGGAGAAAAGAAGACACAAATATAGAATGGAAGAAAAAAAGAATGTAGGGCTGCTACCTTAGAACTAGGAGTGTCAGTAAAAAAAAATGTGTTTTTCTTAATAATTTGCTAGTTCTGTCTTCTGAAAATGCCTTTATTAAATAACAAGCCAGTGGCAAAGAGTTCCACCTAACACTCAAATACTGACTTTTGATTATTGTTTGCACTAAAAGGAACAGGGTCATTCTAGAAATGACTGGCTCCATGAATGCGAATATATAGGTGAGTCTGAATCATTTTTTAAAGAAAATATGCATAAACCAAAGAGACATGTGAAAACACACGGGAGCAAGAAAAGGGGCTCCCACTGGCCAAATCTGGAAATTCTGAGAATCTAAATGCATGATGAGAGTAATGAATCTTAAAAAATTGAAAACTGATACAAGAATTCAAAGTATATGTTGGTACAACAAAAGAGAGAGGAGGAGAACACAGCTCTCCTTTATAGTAGGATGACAAGTAACAAATACAGAAGAGTCGACAGATTGAACATCACTACTCCATAACCACTGGTAGTAATAACACTCCAGCAATAACCCTCAGTGAATGCTAAAATTGCCAAGGACAGGATGTTTCCAAAATGGCAATGTTGTCTGTCAGATACTACCTTTAAGGGGTCAAATTTATCACCAAGCGCAGTGACTTCTGAAATATTTCTTCTAAAATAGTTAATATTAACTTAAACAGGGTTTTAAACGGTGAGCATAGATTGAAATTCTACAAAAAACACCAGCTAGAATTCTCAAAATGTCAGTCACGAAAGATAATTAAAAAGCTGGGAAATTATCCCAGAGAAGACTAAAGAGACATAAAAATAAGATAAAATAAAATACTTGTCAAGAGATTTGCCCCTGGAACAAAATGCAAACAAACAAAAATCTACATAGGACATTATTCTTAAAATGGGCACATATGGCCTATATTTAGATAATGGTGTTATCTCAACATTAAATATCTTGAATGTAGTAGTTTTATTGTGACTACTTATCAAAATGCCCTGTACTTAGAAAATCAGTGCATAATTATTTGCATGTGAAGGATCCCGATACCTGTGGCAAAACAAAACAATGACAGGTGAAACACAGGTGGTACAATGTTGCAAACTGCAGACCTGGAGGAAAGGTGTATGAGTGTCTGCCGTTATACTTTTATAATTTCTATATAGGTTTTAATTTTTGAAATAAAATATGGAAAACACACATTTAAGAGCATCAAGAAAGCCTAAATAAATGGACATTTATTTATATAAACCATTTAAATAAATTGGAAGACTCAATAGAGTTAATACTAAGTTCTCCCAAAGCTGATCTAAAAAGGCAATGCAATTCTAATCAATATCCCAAGGCTTTCTTTTTTGGTAAAAATTGACAAGCTAATTCTAAAATACATACACAAAATGTCAAGAATAGCTAAAACAATCTTGAAAAAGAACAAAGTTGAGGGCTTTACTGGAAATTAATATTTGTCAAAAAGCTGCATTAATTTACATGGTGTAATACCAGCACATGTTGAAATACATAAATCAAGGAAACAGAACAGAGGTGCCAGAAACAATCCGCAGGTGCAAGTGCTTATCTGTCACAAAAGTGGCATTTTGGGTCAGTGAGAGTAAATGGCACAGAATCAATTAATTTCATGTGCAACATAAAAAAAAAAAGGCAACCTGACCTCACTTCACACAATGCACAAAAGTACTTTCAGCTGAGCTATAGGCCTAACTGTAAAATGAAAAATAACAAAACTCCTGGAAAATAGCTTCCTGATCTTGGGTAAGTAAAAGACTTTTTAACAGGGCCCACACACACAAATAAAGTGTAAAGAAAAAGACTAAACAATTCAAGTATATTAAATCTAAGAAAAACTATTAATTAAAAGATAACATCTTGAGAGTGAAGAGGAAAGGTACAGAACAGAAAGAATCAGGTCTAAATATATTTAAAAACTACTTATATCTAGAGCACAGAATGAACTAAAAACAAATAGAAAAATATAAAAGAAATTGTACATCGCAAAAGAGGACATGCAAGTGGTCAATAAAAATATAAAAGGGTGTAGCCCTGGCTGGCATAGCTCAGTGGATTGAGCGTGGGCCTGTGAACCAGAATATCGCGGTTCGATTCCCAGTCAGGGCACATGCCTGGGTTGCAGGCCAGTTCCCAGCAGGGGACACATAAGAGGCAACCATACACTGATATTTCTCTCCCTCTCTCCTTCCCTTCCCTTCTCTCAAAAAATAAATAAATAAAATATTTAAAAATATATATATAAAAGGGTGCTCAACTTCATTAAGTCATCAGAAAAATGCAAATTAAAATCATAATGAAATTCTGCTACAAACCCACAAAATTAATTAAAATCTAAAAAAAAAAACATGCCAAATTTTATGTAGAAAATGGGGTGATCGTAACCCTCATACAATGCTGGTGTGAATGAAATCAGTATACCTTGGAAAATTGGCATTCCCAATAAATTCCACAAGTATGTCAACTCAAAAAATGTGTGTGTACATATGTGAAAATAAATAAGTGCATTTGAGCAAAAAATACATGTACAAGGATACAAGAATATTCACAAAAGTATTATTTTTAACAGTGAAACTGATGTCCATCAGCAATAGAATAAATTATGCTTTAACCACCCTACAGAATACTATATGACAATGAAAATTAATTATGTTTCCATGCAAAATATGTGGGAATCTGAATATACTGCTGAGGGAAAGAAGCAAAATATACAGAATAGAAACAAAGTGTATAGCATTTTTTTTTCAAAAACAAGAAAAATAATCCATGGTGTTATAACTCAGGAAATCTGTTTCTCTGGAGAGGTAAAAATGGGTAGTAAATTTGGGACATGGTGGAAAAGGAGAGAGAAGGAGAAGCCCTGGTAACGTTCCAGTCATTGACCTGTGGCACGATTACACAGGTGGTCACTCTGATGATTCGTCCAGCTGTATACTTCTGATTTGTGTAGCTTTCTGTTTTAATTTGATAAAAATGTTTATATTCTTAAAAGTCTTACTATTCAGTACCTTTTTCCATGTGGTTTAGAGAGAATACGGGACAAAGAAAACATTGTGTTATTATGTTATTTAGAAGGCTGTTTTTATTATTTAGTAGAGAGGGAAAAAAGTGATGTAGAAACAAATGTTGTCAGCTGGTAAAACTAAAAATCTTGAATCGTTCTGTCCTCTAAAAGGAATGTCAACACTGATATCATGAGGCACTAGATTACACATGGCACTACTTGGGTCAGTCACCCAGAAATCACATTATCTTCATACCTGTGTTTCAGAGCATTGCTTTTAACTTCTTTAATGACACTAAATGTGTTGTCAACTTCTCCATCTGTGAAAACAAAAAGCTGAACACAAGAGACATTCATCAAAGTCTCTGTAAAGTTCGGATTTAAAAAACAAAAATTTGCCCTTGAAAAACCCGACAATTTCATGCCAGAGGCACTGATGCCTCTAGACAGGTGTGAAGTCTCTAACGGGACACTGTCACTTGCACTGTGTTCTCATGTGCTTTGTATGGAACCCTGGGCATTTCCATCACCTCCCACTACTAGTCTTACTGAAGGCTTCCCTGGCACCCCACGAAAGAATATTCGTCCATAGTTCATAGCGCAGTGTTAAGGAAGAGGAATTCTTTAAATGCTTCTCATCTTTTCCTCTTTACTATATAACAGATAGCTCTGAACTGCATACCATATTTAGATAATCATACGGTGAAACTCAGGGCTAAGCATCCTTGAACAGAAATTTAATTCTCTCTGTCCCCTTAGGCTCGCTCTGTTCCAACTCCTACCTGCAGAGGATAGCCGGGGATGGAAGAGCCATTGTAAATGCTCTTGAGTGGCGCCAAGATTTCCGTGCCCCCTAGGTCAGCCTGCATGAGTGTGACTCTCTCCAGTGCCTCTTCCATGGTGTGCTGAGTGTACTGCACACTATTCCTGAAAAGATCACACACGCTCAATGACATCGCTACTCAACACTGCTCCGTACTGAGCCCCAGCATCGAAATGAGCCCCGCTGTAAACCTCACCTGAAATCCCCAGTGCCAAAGTCAACTCTACAGCAATCCCTTTAACAATCTAGTCCTTTCTTTAGAGTATATTTTTGACCACTGTGTGACTTTTCTAGAAACTTACTGAAAAAATGCTTCAAAGGTAGATCCAAATCTGTAGATGTTGAAATAACAGCCTATAGGCAAACTCTTTAGCAGCAAAATCAGTGTTTCCTGAAGGAAGAGAGTACAGGAGCTGGTGAGAGAGGGTCCTCTCAGACACGCGGACCCTGCCAGCCCAGCCGTGAGGGTGTGGGCCTTCACCCACACTGTGCCTCCAGGCCTTGTACTCCCCGACACTACGGAGTGTCCTGTTACCGGTAGTTCAGGCGAAAAAGACCCAAGTTCCGGACAACTCTAGTTTAACCCTTGAGGCTCATCTTCACTCGGGCATGGGACCAGAAGGAGAAGAGAACTCGCTTTACCTTGGCTGCCTCTATGCGCTGCTGAGATTTATCTTGGTTATTCATGGGACACTGCATACTTCCGGAGCAGTCCATGAGGAAGACAAATTCCCTACACGTCATTGGCGGCTGAGCTTCTGGGATGTCTGGGTAGAAACTCACCATCGCAGATGGATGTCCCATCAGACAGTCTACTCAGAAAGAAAAGGGACACTGTAAGATGAAAAAGAACTCAAACATACCTACTAACAACACCATGAAACGACTGTACTGACATACATCGGAAGTTGAGAAAACCTGAACCTAAACCACTGTTTGATCTTTGTACTCTCTCTTCCAGCAAAGGGTCTGAGATGAGTTATAAACATGTAAGAAACAGAAGAAAGACAGGCATTAAAGAGAAGAAAAAGGGTACAGGTACCAGAAACAAGTAAAAGTTACAATACTATAATTGGATGCAAGTTTCCCAACAGCTAGGCAAATGAATGAAATACATTAAGTTAAAATGTTCCCATATTTTCCAGAAGAATCAACCTCACTTACTTGCAGGGACACATTCTCTTCAAATAAAATCAATGGGAAATTTATCACATGGGTCCTTGTGGACAAGATGATGACAAAATGATGGCCATGTGGGCAATTCTTTTGTTGACAATGTACAAGAGCTAAGAATATACTAAGTGTTTCATGCACCACGGAGAGCCCATCTCCAGAACAAAGAGAAGCACTCAGATGTGTGTTGGGACAATAATAGCATCATCAACTGGCATAAAAACAGGCACATAGACCAATGTGCCTGTATGGAGGAGACCATGGGAGCTGCCCCATGTCACGAAGTTGTTGAAGCCACAGCTATGATTTTGTTTTAAGGAGCAAGTGAAAACTGAGGCTAGAATTGAAATGCTAATATTAAGATAGAGATGTAGTGAGAATGGCTGATTTATATAAACTCCAGTTCAAAAGTTCAGAGAATACAAGAAGATATAGCAGCTAGTTCCAGTATCCTATCTATATTGTAGTCACCCCAGGACTAGAGGTCTAGGTTCTCAGTAGCCCTGGGACTCTGTGTGACCACAGGACCTGACTGAGCTTACTCTCTTACCCACAGATCACTGCAGTAACCAAACTGCTTCCAAATGAGGTGGGCGAGGGCCAGCAGATATTTGACAGTGCACTGGTTCAAGAACAACTTTTATGCAATCCAGATCCCTGGACATCCAGTGGCTGAGTGTCTCTTTCTTTATAGGCAAGGTAGACTCCTTGCCATTTGAAGAGACAGCTGGGTCTAATGGGACGGGCACTGCACCTGACAGGTGAGAAGGGCCACCCTGAGAACGGAGTAAGCATCTCTACACTGTTTAGCACAGTGCCAGATGCACTGTAAGCACTACAGACATGGTATCGTCTACTGGAATATCTTTGGCTTGGCTCAACTGATTTTCACCCACCCAAGTCTCTGCTTCCTCATTCTTAAATGAGGTATTTCGAACCCTGGCTCTTCTACTTGCTAGCTTCAGTTTACTCATCTAAAGAATCAAGGTAGTAATACCTAGGTCAAGATTATGTTAAGAATTAAGTGACATGATTTACTTCAGGAACCAAATCTAGGGCTCAATTCAGAGTAAGCTCTTAATTTCATAAAATTAAAGTGCTTGATACAATTATATCTATTAAATTGTAAATATTTTTTTTAAATCATGTTCTTCCTATGGTGAGTACATTCTAAGTTTAAAAAGGCAAAGGGCCAGCATCCCCCGCATTACGCTCCAGGGTCTCTGTGATCAGGGACAGCAGCCCAAGAGGCTCCAAGAGAGCAACAGTCTAGCATGTGCTCTACCAGTTATAGCCAAAAGGAAAAGCACATACATATCAAGGACAATTTAGGAAACAAGAAAAATTAAAGAAATTTAAAACACTAAACCTATTAAGAAACTAAACTTACATGAACTAGGAGGACTTCCACCGAGATGGAGGCCTAGGTGGAAACCCTGTGCCTTCTCACACAACCAAGTTTAAAAACAACAAAGTTTTACCAACAAAAATGCAGCCAAACCACAGAAAATGGAACTACATGGAAATCTGACAACAATGAACCCTTCAGCCAAACTGGTAAGAGGGGCAGAGCCAGCAGCAGAGCGGGGCTGGGCAGGAAAGATCCACCGGACCCACCCAGGCATGTGACCCAGGCACCCCAGCAGCCGTGGGTGGATCCCAGGTGTGGAGTAGCAGGCAGACCCACTGAGGGTGCAAGGTGGGGGACTCACTGAGGGCTGACTGCAGTCACACATTTTTGAGCAGATAAACCAGTGAAGGAGCTAGCAGTGAGACGGACTGCGCAGGCCCCAGTGGTGGGAAGCGGCAGAGAGGACCGCTATTGTCCCACTCTGACCCCACCCCCACATACAGAGTCACAAACCAGCGACCTGGGTGGCCCCGCCCTGGTGAACACCTAGGGCTCTGTTCCTCATACATAACAGGCACAAACAGATCAAAACATGGCTCAAGAACAACTCAGAGCCCCAGAGCTGATAAAACTAAGTGATGAAGAAATAGCCAAACTTTCAGATGCACAGTTCAAAACACTGCTGATCAGGATACTCACAGAACTGGTTGATTTTAGTCACAAATTAGAAGAACATATGAAGGCTAAACTAATTGAAATGAAAGGAAATGCACAGGAAACCAATAGTATTGGAAAGGAAATTGGGACTCAAATCAAAGGAGTAGAGCAGAAGGATGAAAAATATGACCAAACAGAAAAGGATGAAGAAACAAGAATTCAAAAAAATGAGGAGAGGTTAAGGAACCTCCAGGACATCTTTAAACATTTCAACATCCAAATTACAGGGGTACCAGAAGGGGAAGAGGAACAGCCACAAGTGGAAAACTTATTTGAACAAATAATAAAGGAGAATTTCCCCAATCTGGCAAAGGAACTAGACTTCCAGGAAGTCCAGGAAGCTCAGAGAGTCCCAAAGAAGTTGGACCCAAGAAGGAACACACCAAGGCACATCATAATTACATTAACCAAGATTAAAATGAAGGAGAGAATCCTAGAAGCAGCAACAGCTAAGGGGACAGTCACCTACAAAGGAGTTCCCATCAGACTGTCAGCTGATTTCTCAAAAGAGACCTTACAGGCAAGAAGGGGCTGGAAAGAGGTATTCCAAGTCATGAAATCCAAAGACCTACATCCAAGATAGCTCTATCCAGCAAAGTTTTTATTTAGAATGGAAGGAGAGATAAAGTGCTTCTCAGATAAGATCAAATTCAGAGAGTTCATCATCACCAATCCCTTATTATATGAAATGTTAAAGGGACTTACCTAAGAAAGAGAAGATAAAAAAGATGAACGGTGAAAGGACAGCAAACTCACAGTTATTAAGAACCACACCTTAAACAAAAGCAAACTAAAAGGACAGCTAGATCAGGAGTGGAACCATAGAAATGAAGATCACGTGGAGGGTTAGCAACAGGGGAGTGGGCGAAGGAGAAGGGGGAAGAAGGTACAGAGAATAAGTAGCACAGACGGTAGGTAGAAAATAGGGGGAGGGCAAGAATAGTAGGGGAAATATAGAATCTAAAGAACTTGAGACACGTGGTCATAAACTAAAGGGGGAAATGGTGGGGGAGGGGTGTGCAGGGTGGAGGGGAATGAAGGGGGGAAATAGAACAACTGTAATGGCATAATCAATAAAATATATTTTAAAAAAATTTTTTAAAAAGAAAAGAAACTAAACTTAGTCTTAGAAACTAAGATGCCAGGGTGAGATGAGCAAGCTCCAAAGGCAGACACTGCTGACAGTCACACACAATGTGAGTGCACTGAGCGTGACAAGAATGGTCACAGCAGTAAAACTGCCATTGTGTGCATTTTATAAGTTTCACACTGTATAACTTTATGCCAACTTATTTGTTTCTGCACACTTAAAATTTAGGTCACATACATTTTACCACAATAAAAAGAAGACAAAAAGAAAACCCAGGGTGAGATCACATGTTGGTGTGATGAACCAATCAATAAAACTTACTTATTAGATAAAACAAAAAATCAAGAAAATAAGCTTATTCTTAATCTAATCACAACATTTGCTATTTCCTGTGGTTTTTAATGTTTTTCTTACTTTGTAGTTTATTTTCTTTTAGTAATCTGTATAACTTACCTTTCTTTTACTTAACATATTTTGGAAGTCCTTTTTTCCCATATTATTTCAATCTGTCAATATACATTATTTTGGTAGCAGTATAATAACTCATGGAAGCCCTGGCTGGTGTAGCTCAGTGGATTGAGCACAGGCCTGTGAACCAGACAATCGAGGTTCGATTCCCAGTCAGGGCACATACCGGGGTTGCAGGCCGGTTCCCTGCAGGCCAGTTCCCCGCAGGGAACACACGAAAGGCAACCATACATTGATGTTTCTCTCCCTCTCTCCTTCCCTTCCCCTCTAAAGATAAATAAATAAAATCTTTATAAAAAAATAAAATAAAATAACCCATGGAGTAATTCTAATATAGTAAATTTAGCTACTGTAAGACATTTTGAGGACATTTTAGTTTATATTTTTACTTACATTTAAATTTATTTCCTTAAGTGAGATTTTAAAAATTGGAATTACAAAAATAAACACTTATTTGGATACATATAGCCAAATTTCTCCTCAAAAGTTTAATAGCAAATTATTTTGCTATAAGGGTGCCAAATTTACCTCACCTTTTAAAGCATGAGGCTTTACCAGATTTGGAAATCTTTGATCATTTGAAAAGTAAAAAGGTCATGTCATTATTTTTACTGTATTTTAATTTTTACTTGGAGAGACTGATTATCGTCACATGTTTGTAACGTAAATGTGTTTCCCTCTGTGGATTCTATTCATATCCTTTGTTTCCATAAGACATAGTCATTGACTTGAACCATTTTTGAATGCCGCAGTGTAAGCTATTTCAGTTTTTTACCCACCACTGGACAGAAGGGCAAAAAAACTGGGGTGAATCTGAGGGTAATTCCGAGACAAGAGCTACCCCACGGGAGGAAACTACGAGGAGGAAAGGAAGTACCGGGCTTTGCTGTAGGCTCCCCCATCTCCACTGCTACCCTGGGGGCATGCACCTCACTGTAGTAAATCAGAAGTTCCACATCTCGATCAAATTTGTGTCCATCGGCCAAGGAAATCTGGGTTGGGAACAGTCAAAGAAGCCACGTTAACACTATCGTTGCTTAGAAGAATGGAGAGCAGGCAGGCTCTGGAAACTGAAGGGGGATAAAGAAGGAGCATGCTGTGATTCCCTCTGGGCTACTAGGGGAAAGGAAGGAATGTTTAGGAAAGACTGAGGGAGAAGATCAGGACCCCAGAACAGGGGTCCCAGCAATGACAGTCTTCTCTTTCTAGTTACCTGAGCAGAAGTCTTATCTCCAAGATACTCAAGGGGACTTAAGGGGCAGTTGCTTCGGACCCTGTCAATGCCGTGCTGGGAACTGATGGCCGCGACCATGCTGAGTGTGTAGGGCAGGTTCTCCAAAAGGACTGCAGGAATCTTCATTTTCTGGCAACTGTCCTCAGGCCGTTCTACAGAAAGTTACCTCAGTGGTGGTTTCCCTCACCACACATGTTAGCACCCCCCCAACCCTGAGGGGCATCCCAGTTGTGCTGCCCCCACTAGCATCTGAGGAGGAGGAGGACACTCACTAGAGAGCTGGTACCGAGGATTCAGGATGGCTGGGAGCACATAGCGCAGGGCCCCGTCTGCTTCCAGGGCCAGCTCCTGCACATACTTCAGGGTGAGTGCCGCCTTCGACCCAGGGGGGAGGTTCCCCACGTTACAAGAGAAGATGTCCCTGGAGTCCTTGTCCTCCTCCAAGAGGAAGGCTTGGTGGCCCTGGCTGATGGCCTCCTCATAATTGGCGTGGGCCTAAGGAGACCAAGGAGAGAAAAGTGGTATCGAAGGGCAGTGTGTTTGACAAGGAGATGAGAAGCACAGGAAACAACGGAGTCTGGTGGGGCGAGACCAGCTGGTCTTGCCAAGCTCACAGCTGTACTTTGAGTGCTCTGATTGGCTTTCCCTTCCAATGGCTTTAGGAAAGGCTCAGTTAGAGAGGTGTGGAGGACAAAGCATTCAGTATCAGCACTTCCGTGAAGTTGCATTTGATAATAACCCTGAAGAGTATGCATCATGGGGAATAAAAAGGGAAGCGATAATGTACTCCTCCTTAGTACCTTCATCTTGTCCTGTAATTCTGCCACAATTTTCTTCCCATCCACCAGGGCCTCAAAGCTATAGACAGCTGAGTCTTCATCCATGGGGAAAACAAAGAAGGCCTCCAACGGAACATTCTCCTCATTCTCATAGTTCAAGGTGGCAGACACGCCAGCCACGAACTCACAAATGGACAAGGTCACAGAGATGCTCTTCAGTGGCACTGGAGACAGACCTGGGCACAAGAGTTCAACAACGTTTAATAGAACATCTTCTGCAGGCCAGGCATTGTGCTAGGTGACAAAGCCACCGGGGCACATAGGAGTCACAAATCCCCCTCACCTGGCTCCTCTCGGCGCGTTAGCAGGCCACAGGGGCACACCATGGTGGCACAGAGTCCCTGTGGGAAAGACACATCATGAACAGAGGCCCATGTGGGGGATTAGCTATTCAAACGCCAGTGTCTCGTGTGCTTCTCTCTGGTGTAAAAATATATTCGGAGGGTTAATGACGGAACTAGGCAGGAGAAAGATGCTGAGAAGAAGGGGACAAAGTGCTGCTACAAAGGCTCCTTTTAAACACCAGACCCAGGCCGGAAGCTGTGAAAGTCACCAAGTACCTGCTGAACAAGAACTTTCTGAAACACCCTAAGTCTGGTTCAAACACCAGGCCCACTTTTTCAGAAGTGTATGATGATACCACTCCTTTCGTGTGTTCAGTAAATGATTGGCTTAACCTTCAGAACCTCCGTATTCTTTCCAAAGTGAAAATCATAATACCTACACATTGTATATGCATATATCAATTAATATCTGTGAAGTTTTTAGAAGTGTGCCCTGCCTATAGGAAGCGTTTATTCAATGACAACAGACATGAGTATTCTTTTAGTTACTACTGTTAATAGACCTTGGCTGTTACTTTGCATCACACTATTCAGAGACCTGTACGTAAGAAGTTCCCTGACCCAAAATGGACCCATGCAACTTAGATAACTTACCTTGTGCCTTTTCTTTGGGGGTTTATAATTGAGAGCACCATTTGATTTCTCTGTCCAAGACTCTTATATAGCATATTTCAACCTGTCCTCTGTCTTAAATCAGGCCACGGTAAACATAGCTTCCGAATTTTATTGTAATCTTAGACAACCATCGCATGTGGTACACTACCAAAAGTGTATGCACATATATTACAATTTACACTATAATCTTTGTACCCAAAGAGTCAGCAGGGGGCTCTGGTCCCAGTCACTGGCCCTGACATCACTAGATGCTGCGCTCTGGCTCTTCTGAACAGAGTCACCCATGAGCGGGCCCCTCCCTGCCTGTCCAAGGCTGACCTGAGCTACCACCTCTAGCACAAATTAGGGGCATTTTTACTGAAAATAAACATTAAGGAACCAAAATGTAATTGCCTGGCACACCAACGATGCCAAAGTGAAACTAGAGTGCTTATCCATAGCCCCAGGGGCAGATGGGTCACTGGGAACCCAAATTTTCACTCAGGAACCTGCGGCCAGAAAAACAGGTGGGCTCTTGAGAAAGGTCATTTTCCTTCCAAGAACAACGACCGCCTCCCTGACGCTCAGAAGGATTCCAAAGCTTTTGGCAGGACTATCTCCGGCCCTCTCCGCTCCTATCAATCACCATTAAACATCGCTCCCCACTTCAACCCTGAGAAAGGCACCCATTGCTCACCCATCTGATAGCAATGGTGTGTCTTATATACCACGCCCCGTATCTACAGATCAGTGCCAATCATGCAGGCTTTTTGCTTTGTACCTGTTTTTATTTTGAAGAACTGGATAAAGACCAATTGTGGCAAAGGGCTCACACTGAAGAAACAGAAGTAGGGCCGCTCCAAGAAAGGTTTCCCTGCGGGCCCGTTCATTGGTTACACCTGCTGCTGCTAGGGCAGTGAGGAATCCTAGGGACCCAGCGGGGAGCTGAACACAGGAGGAGACCAGGAGAAAGGGTAGGAGCTGGAGGAACTGCTGAGAAACCAGATCTGTCTCTGTGGAAGCCCTCGCCCGATGGCTTCCAGGTGAACAGGCAGAGCAGAGGGCTTGTCTCCTGCTGGACTCCAGCCCCAAGACAAATCCCTCAAGGGGGAACCATGCTATTCTGCGCCAGCTCCCCGGCCCCGCCCAGTGCACCCTCTGCTGGGGTCAGAGTTAGTCCTCCCTCACTCAGGATGGCATTTCAGAAATGCCTGTAGCTGCAGGCAAGTAGACTGGCCACAGCAGCAGGGCCAGCTCAGAGCCTCGAATCAGAAGCAACTGGGAGGGCCGGGGGCGGAGCCTTGAGCCCAGGGCCTGCGCGTGTGTCCTACAGCTGCTGGCGATCTAGGAGGCAGAGCAGCCACACCCTGCAGCCCTCGGCCCAGGCAAGTGCAGAACCTGGGATGCAGCGCTGAGATAGAAAGCCAGGGACATTTAACTTTTAACTTTTACCTTTTCCATCCCGGAGTTTCAGCATCCATGTATTAACAGAAGGGATCTGAGCTCGTCCCTAGAATTTCTATACAGAAGGTGCAGGGGCTGCACTCCAATTTGGATGGGGTGGAGGGGGCGTGGAGCTCCATTTCCACAGCGTAAAGTTATAGCAACACCAATTGTCCACAGAAAAGAGGGACAAGGAGAGGGACAGAGAGAAGACGAATGAGAGAAAAGTTAAAGAGATGGAAAGTAGGGAAAGGGACCTTGAGATTATTAGAAGATAACTAAATCCCACTTCTGGTCCCCCACATTCCCCTAACCTGCCACACCCGCAGAAACCCCCGGGGGATGGGGGTTGCACACCAGGACTAAACTTTGTGCCCGGTGGGCTTGCAGGCAAAACCATGCCTCGAAGATCTTGAGACGGGGAAGGGGAGTTAGAAGGGGCAGGTCTAGGACCTCAGGGAGGACCCGGGATCCAGCCCTGGAGCCGCGGCTGAGCACCTACCTTCCCAGTTCTCCCGGCCCGGAGCTTGAGTGTCTGAACCTCTGAGCTAGCGAGTCACTTCGAGCAGGAAACAACTGCAGTCAAAAGTTCCAGTAAACCCCGCCCACCTCTAGGGATCGGTGATAAAGTGACGACTGCGAGACTAAGGGATCCAGGGGAAGTTCCTAAACAAATATTCTAACATTCGCTCTTCTCTGGCTCAAAGGAAAATTCTTCAGCCCTGGGATGTTTTTCTTTTTTTTTGCCTGGTCTAGGCTAAGAGGCCGAGGACTGGCAAAGGAAATAGATTTTTTTTTTAGGGGAAATGCTGTAATAGTAACATCTACAATGACATCAAACACTACATGTTACTGTAATAGACTTAATTACCAAGGCCCTGGGTACTAGGCCCTGCTAGTAACACTTTGTGCTAGGCCCTGAATTTCATTGACTTTATATCAATACTTTATCTCTAAATTGAGTCATTTGTTCCAAGACTGTATCTTCCTTCGGGCAAGCAGACAGGGGGAGGGACGGATGAGGAGCTAGCACAGGAATGAGTCACTTTTTTTTTTCATTGTTCAGTTATAGTTGCCCCAATTTTTCCCCATTTATGGGTTTTTCATCAGAATCTTAAACCTAGTTTGGGGGGTAACAATGTCAGCAATTGACAGAATATCTGTGCTCATTTTCCTGGCTCAGGGACTCTTGAAGTGACATTTCCTAAGTCTTTTTCAGTGCAAAAATGACCTTGTAAATTTGAGGCTTAAAAACGTCACATTGCTGCTGAGAATCTGTATAGGAGAAAGAATGTATGTACTGATGATTCAGGTTGACTTGGTCTCTGCAGTTTATTCACTGTGACACATTTACTCTGAGTTTATTCTTGTATCTGTAAAATGGGGATAATGACAGACCTACACCACCATGGGCTGTTTTTAAAAATCCAGGGGATCTCAACAGATGTGAAAGTAAATCTTTACACACAGACACAGAGTAAAACACAATATAAGCACAAATTCAATTTTATTAGTACCAAGCCCTAGAACCATGTTTTTCACATGTGTCAAACTCATTGTAAAAGGGAATAATCCTTTTATATTGTTAGAATCCATCTCCACTATTGTTTCTTCTGGTTGCAACTTTTTTCTGTTGGCTGAAGATTCTGGGCAACAGTAGCTAGAAGCTGGAAAAGTAGGCATGTCATCACCTGATCCAGGTTGATGAAAGAGGTTACAACAAGAGGCCTGCTACAGATCAGACATGACTGCTTGGTTGGAAAGAACCCATGTGTATGAATCAGGAAATGTTCATATGATGCTGGTTATTGGAAGGGCAGTTACATATAAACTCTCTGAAGCTAACATATAAATATACAATTAAACAGACCTTTTAGCTACTAAAAATATGAATGCATTGTACTATTCACATTTTGTTTAAACATAATAAATAATTTTCCTCTTTTCACATAAACTAATGAATCTAATAATCAAACTTTTGGAAGAGAAATATATAATAATTCATTTTTTTAGTCAACATGTATTTATCAGGCTTCTACTATGTGCAAGGCATTTTTCTAGACATTGATATTATGTTCATAACAACACAAAAATTTTTACCCATCTTGAGCTCACAAAGCAGGGGAAGAAATTTTTCAATAAACAAATAATAAAATACATAAATAGGAAAATAAGTAAATGAGAAAATATCCAGTAGTAAAAGTGCTTAAAGAAAATAAAACAGAGCATGGGCAAAATGGTGGAGGAATGAATGGAAGCCATACTAACCTCCTCCAAGGACCAATCTGGAATTACTGCTAAATTGTGGAGACATCACCCAGAGAAAACAACTGAAAAACAGCAAGACAGAAGCTTTATAACCTACAACAGACAGAATAATTGGCTTCAGCACAACCTGACTGGTAAGGAGTATGGTGGAGACTCAAGAAGGCTGTGTGCCCACAGGCAGCAGCAACAAAGGGATAATTAAGTGGCTTGTTGTATACCCCTGGGATCCATGGGGGCTAAACCCTAAACTGGGATCCCCAGCCTAGAGCACCAGAGCCCAAAAAGTATACGGATAACAACCAGCAGGGAAAGCAGCAGGGTTGCTCTCTGCCGGAGATGAACCGCTAGTGACACATAGAGACATTTCAAGGGCCAGCGCACAAGTTTTCATTTGCAGCCACTTACTCTGGGTTCCAGAAGAAGCAGGGGCAGAGTAGGTTAGAGACAAAGAAAAAACTGTGATTAATAGTAGAGACTGCTGAAGTGAAATCCACTGTGGTCTTCTACGTGATTTGCAATATTTTCTTTCCTGCATGGCTTTTTAACATTCATTTCTTATCCATCAAGATTGTGCATATTATGTCACTAGATTTTATACTATAGTTTATTTTTCTCCTTTCTTATAATAGTCTTAATCTCTTTATACCCTTATTACTGCTGCTTTATTTGCTATTGATAGTGGAATTGACAGGGGGAGTTATTTTTTCAGATGGGGGTTTCTTCCCTGGGCTTTGTGGTTTTGTGCTGGCTGTACTAGCGCAACAGCGTACAAGATGTGGTGGGCAGAGCAACCCTCAGTCAACCAGCAGCAGGGAAAGAAACACCAAAGAATGACCGAAAAACAATAAAAAACAAATTACATCCAGAGAACCAACACGAACGGCATAAAGGGCATCCTAAGAGCATCAAGTTCAACAGATCAAGGAGACTGCACCACTAAATCTCACAGGTCACCTACCATAGAAGTTCACATCACAAAGTTGTGGAGTCAAAAGAGATCAATTTAAGAAGCAGAAGTAAACAAGAACGGCTTCACAAATAATGGGAAGACAAAGAAACAACCCCCTGATCAAAAAGAAAGGAGGAATACGAGAGGCAAGTAACTATTAAATATTGAGTTCAAAACAATGGTTATAAGGAAATTCAATGAGCTCAGTGAGAATTACCAAAAACTATAGGGAAGCTATGAGGAAGTTACTGCAAACTCTATCAGCATGAAAAGAGACATAGAAAATACCAGCAAGAACCAAGAGAAAATGAAGAATACAATTTCTGAATTGAAGAACACAGTAGAAGGAATCAAAAGCAGGCTAGATGAAGCAGAAGATTGAATCAGTGAGCTGAATGACAAGGTATAAAAAAAAACTCCCAGAAAGACAAGAAAAGGAAAAAAGACTTAGAAAGAATGAATAGGTGTTAAGGAAACTGCAGGACAAAATGAAATGTAATAATATCCATATAAGAGGGGTACCAGAAGGAGAAGAAGAAGAGCAAGGGATAGAAAACCTGTTTGAAAAAGTAATGATGAAAAACTTCCCTACTTTGATAAGAGAAAAAGTCACACATCCAGGAAACATAGAGAGTCCCAGTCAAGAGGAACCCAAAGAGGCCCACTTCAAGACACATGATAATTAAAAGACAAAGAGAGAATCTTATTTTTATTAAGATTTTTTAAAATTTATTTTTAGAGAGGGGACAGAAGGAAAAGGAGAGGGAGAGAAACATCAACGTGTGGTTGCCTCTCAAATACCCCCTGCTGGGACCAGGCCTGTGATCCAAATATGTGCCCTGACTGGGAATTGAACCAGCAATGCTTTGGTTCACAGACCGGCACACAATCCACTGAGCCACACCAGCCAGGGCCAAAGAGAGACTCTTAAAGGTAGCAAGGGAGAAACATGAAGTAACACACAAAGGAGCCCCAATAAGGCTAGTGGCTGACTTCTCAACATAAATACTACAAGGCGGGAGGGAATGGCAAGAAATATTCCAAGTCATGAAAAGCAAAGTCCTGCAACCAAGACTACTCTATCCAGCAAAGCTCTCAGTTAAAATGAAAGGTGAAATAAGGAGCTTCCCAGACAAAAGTGGGCTAAAAGAACATACCTCCACCACACCAGCACTGCAACATATGCCAAAGGGACTGCTTTAAGAAGAGGAAGAAAAAGAGTGAGAGAGAGAGGAACACAAGTACAAAGAGGGTAAAATGACAATGAATAAGGACCTATCAAAAATAAGCCTAAATGTAAATGGATTAAATGTTCCAATCAAAAAACATAGGTTAGGTTAGTTGAATGAATAAGAATACATGACCCACACATATGCCGCCTACAAGAGACCCACCTCAGAACAAAAGACCTACACAGACTGAAAGTGAAAGGAGAAAAAAAAATATTCCAAGCAAATAGACAGGAAAAAAAGCCAGGGTAGCAACACTCATATCAGACAAAATAGACCCCAAAACAAAGGCCATCAAAATAGAAACTAAAGGACACATCATAATACTCAAAAGAAGAATCCATCAAGAACACATAAACATTGTAAACATACATGCACTCAACATAGGAGCACCCAAATATATAAGAAATATCTTGGAGCACGTCAAGAAAGAGATAGAGTAACACACGTATAGTAGGGGATTTTAACACCCCACTGTCAACAATGAACAGATGTTCCAAACAAAGTATCAACAAGGACATTGTGGAACTGAATGACACATTAGATCAAAGGGACTTAAGTAATATGTATGGAACCTTTCATTCCAGAGAAGCAGAATATATATTCTTTTCAAATGCACATGGAACATTTTCAAAGATAAACCACATGATAGGACACAAAACAAGCCTCAACAAATTCAAGAAAACTGAAATCATATCAAGCATCTGCTCAGACCACATGGGACTGAAACTAGAAACCAACCTCAGGGGAAAAACTCAAAACCACTCAAATTCATGGAGATTAAATAGCATGATATTAAACAATAAATGGGTTAAGAATGAGATCAAGGAAGAAATCAAAAAGTTTCTGGAAACAGGTAAAAATGAACTCACAACAACCCAAAACTTATGGGACACAGTGAAGGCAGTCCTGAGAGGGAAGATCATAGCAATACAGGCCTACCTAAAAAAGATAGAAACATTTCAAACAAAAAACCTAACCCTATGCCTGCAAGAACTCAAGAAACAACAACGAAGACAGCCCAGAGCAAGTAGAGGGAAGGAAATAACCAAGATCAGAGCAGAATTAAATGACATAGAGACTAAAAGC